CCCCATGGTACGCAGCGCGGGGCGTTCGTGAGCGAGCCGGCCATCCTGGTGAAGCGCAAGCAGCGCAACAGCCAGATCTGGTCTGTGGAGAAGCTGGAGAACAAGGTCATCGACATGCGCGAGATGTACGAGGAGCGCAAGGCGTCGGGCGGACCCATGATGGTAGAGGAGTCCTTCACGGACCAGCTAGACGCTTCCCTCATTGCTGGGGTTTGTTGTGACCGCATGCTTCTGTCGTGCCTTCCTTTTCTTTTTTCTTTTTTTTTTTTTTTTTTTTTTTTTTTTTTTTTTTTTTTTTTTTTTTTGATTGTTTGATTCGTATTACTTTTTTTTTTCTTTTTGGTAATATTGTTGATCATTTAGAAGAAAGGATAGTTAAAAACACCCCCCAAAAATGCAACAGCAACATTTTTTCAACCCCCACCCCCATTGAAAAAATACTTAATGTTTTCATACGAAAAGAGTTAAATCAAAAATCAAATTAAAAAGTTACCTGATAGAACTCAAAATTCAAATGTTATAATTTGTGTTATTTTGTAAAGATTTCAAAATCAGATAGAATTTGAGTAGTTATTTCGTAAAAATATAAGAAATAGGCAGAGACTTGAACTACTCTCCAAGTCGTGTTTTGTAAATGAAAAATAATTGAGAACGGAAAAAATTATGTCTTACTTATTGTCTAGCTTAGGACGGTCGTTAAAAAAAATAATTGCGAAGGGAAAAATGAATGTATAGTTCATAGAGCAGTTGAATTGAAATATAGACATTACGCATCTTGCTCTAGCCGGAACATAGACAGCGAAGAAGGCATTAAAATGATTTTTAAAAATAATTTCGAGATGAGAATTTGAACAGATGTGTGAAAGGAAAAGATCAGGAGAATACACGTTGGGTTTTTAAGAGTATTTTATCGTAGAAATGAGTGGCAGTTCATGATTGCTGGAATCTGTTTCAAACCTGGCGCTTGGTGAAGAAAATGTAGTCAGAATTAAATATATAGGAAGTGAGTTTTTTAAATCAAATTTGATACTTCGTAAGGGTTTGGCTAATGGAAAAATTCCTGTCGGCTCGAAGGTGGATACGATTCTAAGATGAATTAAGTAATACTTGCTCGTTCATTTGATCAATTGAAATTTGAATGTGACAGCGTCTGAGTAGATGAGCTAGAGAAACTGTATTTGTTCACCGTGTCATTCAAGTGTTCATTTTATTGTTAAAAAACAGGTTTGGTATTCATCGTGATTAGATGGTTTTGTTTGACAATGTCACAGGGGAAAAAATGAAATTCTAGTCGGAAGATTTGAGACAATATCAGATAATTTTATTAAATTAGATGAAATAGGCCTAAGTTTGCAATATATCTTATCTAAATTGCTCCCCGAATAATGTCTTTTTTTTTTTAATCGATATTTAGAATTTCCTAGCATATTATTGAGAAACAAATTAATGTGTGTTGCGGGTGGTTTGAGGGCGCCACTGTCAATCAGGTCCTACTTCTTTAGTTTCTGTCTGTTGTCTCTGTCTATTTGTCTTACGTTGTCCCAGCACTATGACCGTTATTGTATCAATGTGCCTTTCTTCACTCAGCAACAACGATAACAACAACAGCAACAACAATAACAACAGCAACAACAATAACAACAGCAACAACAACAGCAAAACAACAACAACTACTACTACTACAGCAACAACAAGAAATGTGTCTTATCTGTAGAGAGGTGTATATAGATATAGATATTATCTGTATGTGTGGACAGTATGCATACAATGGATAGTTGTCCCTGTGTCCTTCTAGTGTACGGGAGGATCGAAACTTTCGGGCAGGTTATTCTGATTGGTTTGGGGCTCAGATATTGATTTTTGAAAGTAAAACTATTCTTCGTTCAATTCCCTATAATTATTGGATGAAATACTCTTTGAGTCTTAAGTATCAAAACAAGGCTATAAAAGCTCTCTCGTCCATGGAGGTTTTTTTTTGTGTGTTTTTTTTTACCAGTTTCCACAATTTTCAAATGCGTTTTTCCCAAAACTGCATTTTAAGAACGTTCCACTCTCTATTTCCCTAATCATTCTATTGTGTTTCAAGATATATGCTCTTCAAACTTTACGTGGGTGTACTTTGAAAATTACAATTGACTGGCACAATGAATGTTAGCCAATTTTTGCTCCCCTAGCTGAGTGTTGAGATACACTGCCACCTTGAACAAGTTCATGAAAGTATAAATTATTTAAGCTGGTAAATTGAACTAATATGTCTGCAAGATAATTTCGAAAAAACAAATTTTTAAGTAAATGGACTTATCACGTCTAATAGAAAAGTGCATCAGCTACCTTAAAGAAATGCCCCAAATCCAAATATGAGCTCCGTTTCCATGGCAATGTGAAGATTTTTCTCAAAATGTTATGTTCGAATCTTTATCAGGGTATATATACTGAAACGCCTGTTGCACGCAGTTTTTCTCATTATCAAGGAAAACGGGCCCCGAAAGAAACCTCTACTCTTAAAGCGAAGTGTTTGCGTTAAATGATTGGCAGCCTTAAGAAAGATTTCTGTTAATGTGTACATTCTCCTTAGATGGATGTATCGAGAAAGGTCGGCAATTTATGCGTCATGTTCCCAATTATTCTTACAAATAAGTCTAAGTCTGGAATTGATTGAAACAGGAACATAAGTACAGAGACCCCCAAAGTTTCAAATTACATAGCGATTGCTTAGTACGCCATTCCCTTCAAAGTGCGTCTTTCACTGTTTGCCATCTCCTAATGTAGATAACTCCATTGACGTGTTTTGGGGGAAGTTAAGTTTCGTTTCTCAAACAAAGGAAGAGCGATCTATCTTTGTGAACATTCATCTCCCGTAATAATGAGTTTTCCAGGTTCAGCTGTAGGGTTTCTTGAAAACTTAGATGTACCCCATGTATGTGTGTGTATATATATATATGTGTGTGTGTGTGTGTGTGTGTGTGTGTGTAATATTTTTTTTTAATGTGTGTGTGTGCGCGCGCGCGCGCGCGCGTGTGTGTGTGTGTGTGTGTGTGTGTCCTAAACGTCCACATTCAAGCTTTTGTAAAGAGTCATTCGTTGAGGCAAGCTGTTAAAATGATATAATATGAGCCCAGAAACCAACATTTTACAGGAGGAAGAAGAAATTGTTGCATTCTCTTAATAACTACGCCTACGTCTTGTATTTTTCTTTCTCTTTTCAACATTTACTATTAAATTTTGAATTTCAACAAAATATTTATCGAGCACATGTAATCGGTGTATGAGGAGTATCCTAAGAATAAAGTGGCAGGCTATAGTAAGAAATGAAGAGCTGTGGGAAAGGACTGGACAAAAGGAATATAGAAGTAGAAATAGGACTAAGAACGTGACCTTGGATGGGACACATCTTCACAAACCCCAGCGGAAACATCACATGGCAGTCGCTGCAGTGGAACCCTCAGGGAGCACGAGGCAGGGGTAGGCCACGGGAAACTTGGAGGAGGAGGTATGTGGAAAGGGACACGAGAAAGATGAAGCTCACTTGGAACTAGCTTGGAAGGATGGCCCAGGACATAGATATATATGTGGAATGAGCTTGTATGAGGCCTTTACCCTGGCAGAGGTAAAAGGCATTGATGATGACGACAGCAACCAATACCACAGATTCAGAATGTTAGGCCTACAACATGTTCACAGCTGGCCGACTCATTGAGTTATGTAGTAGTGTTTCCGCGAACTAACAACGTGATATATACATGTATATATATATATATATATATATATATATATAAAGGTCTCCCGTATGTTAGTGTTATTGTTAAAACATGTTCACAGCTGGCCGACTCATTGATTTATGTAGTAGTGTTTCCGCGAACAAACAACGTGATGAGTCCGCCGGGTTGCTACAGGCAAAAGAAGCCGATAGTTATATATACACATGTATGTATGCATGTGTGTGTGTATATATATATATATATATAAAGGTCTCCCCTATGTTAGTGTTATTGTTAAAACATTAAAGACTCCAGGCCCTGCAAGTGGGTTCCGCACTGAAGGTTTTCTTTTCTTTGTGTCCTCCTTCCTCCTGTGGATCGGAAAAAAGTCCTCCGTCCTCCTCCTCTCTCTCTCTCTCTCTCTCTCTCTCTCTC